GCTGACAAATGGGATTGGCTTGAGCAGATGGTTCATACCTTCCAGCGAAGATTATTAGGGGTGAGGGTCCTTGAAATATATACGGTATGTTTGCTTCCCTTCTCACAAAGAAAAAATTCGGAATTGAGATACTATGTCTTTCAGATGTTACGTTGCATACATATCACGAAAAATCATCTATTTTGTATTGTATGTACACTATTGTTCAAAAGTATCTTAACATCCAGAAAACAAGGAAACTGATGGATGTTATTACTTACAATATCTGTATGAAACATTTATTTTCTTAATTCCTAACAACTATTTATAATCAAAATAATAATATTTTTAACTCGTTAATATGCCCTTCACTTTAAATTTTTATAAATTGGATGGGGCTATTTTTTCTATTCGTCATGTAAATAAGTAATGTAGGACAACATTTCCGTACTTGCCTGTCCAGTGCATCCCACAGCAAGTCTATCGGATTCAAATCCAGGGATTGGGGAGGCCATTGCATGACTTTCAAAATACTTTGTTATTCTTTTGCTTCCAAAAATTGTTCACAGCGATTGGATGTGTGTTTGGGTTCAGTATCATGCAGAAAGCAAACCCAGGATCAATAAGTCGAGTCCCAGAAGGCACAACATGATTTTGTAGTATGGCTTTGTAACCTTCTTTATTCAGTATTCTCGGTACTCTCACAATATCCACAGAGCGGAACTACCAAAACAGCCCGAACTCATTGTAGAGCATCCACCTTTGGTTGACTGAAGCGACGGTGCATGATTCGAATGTCCTCTCGTTAGACCGACGGCAGACAAATACTCTTCTCTTGAAACCAAAAACTTCAAATTTCTATTCATTGATGTTGTTTGGCCCAATTCAGTATCTTTTTTTTGTTAGTAGCCCTGAGGTGTGGTTTCGAAACTGCTATGCATCCCTCAAATTTAGCTTTGAGTAACCTTCTATTAACTGTAGTCACACTTTCCGATTACTTTTCACTGTTATGCTTAAGTCTTCAGTGGAAGTTGTAACTCTGGGTCTCCCTGAACGACGACTATTAGATGTTTCTAAATAGTACAGATGACGGTGGTACCTTCTGAAGCTTAGAAATTTCTCGAATACTTTTGCCGGATTTATGAAGACCAATAATAACGCCTTTTATTTTCACGGAATATTCTTTAGTTTTGCCCATTTTGTCCAGAAAAAAATATCCGAAAACGCGCTTGGTGAACAAACATGAGAAAGAATTCCTATACAAAAACATAACATTATTCTAAAGGCAGAGACATTCCTATTATGGCTAATGATGGGATCCCAATAAAAGTGAGACCAACATTTTGATTTTTCAATAAATAAAGAAAAATATACTAAGTGACATATAAATCCGAACACCCAGTTTAAATGGTTTTATTTTAATAAAAGTTGGTGAATGTATTTATCTTACTGTAAATAACAAGTGAAAAAATTTTCAGCCTTATCAGTTGGACATTCCGGTTTTTATACTGCTTTTTTTTAATTCACTAACGCTCTAAAAATGAATATTTCAGCCGCAGTAAAGAATCAACGTTGGCGGATTTTGGTTCTTGACATCCTTTACGATCGGTTACGATGCCTAGAGTACGGAGACCTGTACGATTTCGTCAACTTAGTGAGTTTGATAGGGGCCGTATAGTGGGACTTCGGGAAGCTGGACTTTCTTTTCGGGCAATTGCAGTTAGAGTGCAAGTGGAAGTGTAGACACTGTGGTTAGGTGTTGTCAGGCATGGCTTCGAGAAGGCCGTACGCAAAGAGCAAGGGGCACTGGACGCTGCCGTAGAACAACAGACCGTGAAGATCGCCGCCTAAGATTATTGGCCTTGAGGGACCGTTTCTCCACTACCAGGTCCATTGCAAATGAATGGTTTGCAGAACACCGAAGACCTATTGGCATGCGAAGTGTTTACCGACGAATGAGAAGTTTTGGCTTGTTTTCATACCGGCCACACTGGGTCCTCCCTTTAACTCGAGAACACCGACGTAACCGCCTTGAGTGGTGCAGACAACGGTCACTCTGGGATCAGGAATGGAACAGTATTGTCTTTAGTGACGAGTCTCGATTTTGTTTAGGCATGCACGATGGTCGTGCCAGGGTTGGAAGGCGACGTGGTGAAAGGAGGAATCCACAGTTTTTTGTTGAAGGACATGTTCATCACACTGTTGGAGTTATGATTTGGGGTGCTATAGCTTATGGTTCCAGGTCACCCTTAATCTTCATCAGAGGTAACATGAACGCGCAGCGTTATATCCACGAAGTTCTAGAACCCCATCTTTTACCCTATCTTAACACCCTGGCAGATCCAACTTTCCAACAAGATAATGCCCGACCACATGTTGCAATAGTCACAATAGACTTCTTCCAACATAATGATGTCACATTGTTACCATGGCCACCAAGATCTGCCGACTTATCCCCAATTGAGCACGTGTGGGATATGATGGGTAGGAGATTGCTCAATTTGCAACGTCCTCCTCAGACTCTAGAAGCACTTCGAGAGGAGTTGGTGGTTGCCTGGAATGAGATACCACAGGAGGACATTGACCACCTGATCAGAAGCATGCCTAGGCGCGTTGGAGAATGCGTAGCACATCAGGGTGCATCCACACATTATTAAAGGTCAAAGGGCTTTAAAGCAGTGCAATCATTTTGAAATTTTTATCATTTACTTATTAAGCTTCATTAAGTACTTATACAAAATTTTATTAAAATAAAACCATTTAAACTGGGTGTTCGGATTTATATGTCACTTAGTATAAATACTGACTGAATAGTTTTTTTTGTTTGTTATGATTTTAAATGGAAATATGCAGGTGTTCAAATACTTTTGAACGATAGTGTATGTATTGCTTGGATTTTGATGCAAGATTAATCATGCCAAGGACGAGAAAGATTTGTAGATATTTGGAAATTCGTTCACTGGTGGCATAGTTACGAGTGGTAAATAAAAAATTTCAGAACGTCCCAATATTTCGTTTGCCGATGCTTTTTGGGGCATAGTCTAGACCAGGCCTCTCCAACTCAGGTGCTACCAGTGCAGCGCCGAGCACCGCTCACAGCACAGTGCTGCGGGGTGACTCCGTGAAGGTGGGGGAGGGATTAGGCAGCGGCATACGCATCGCGAGGAAGGTGTTGTGCTAACCGTAGCGCCCTGCGAAAAGAAATGACCCGGGAGCTGGTGGCATTGAGTATACCTTCATCGAGGATTCGACTAAATTTAGTAATAATATGTAGTTTTTAAGTAAATGAACAAGAAGAGCTCAGTACATGTCATACCAACTTGAAGATACAGCGTGATAAGAGAATTTCACCGTCATCACCGGATCCAACGATGCCTACAAGGTTTGATGGAAATTTTAGGCTCATTTGGAAAAACATGGTATGACAAACTGAGTCGATATGACAGGTACTTTCATCGGCATACTAAGCCCTTTTTGTTCATTTACTTAAAAACTACATATTATTACTAAGTTTAGTCGAATCCGCGATCAGATTTAATTTCACCGGCTCTCAACCATAACGGAAATGATTGGAGTGACATTCGTATTGACATTTGAATTGGTCTGATCGAGTCAACGATAAAATAATGTTGATAATTTCGACGTAAACACATTTATTCTTTGACAGCGTTTCGATTCAACAAGTTTTCTAATATTTGGTACAGTGGCTTGAGCAGTGGAAATTCTGACTATCGCCTCTAAGGACACATCAGACAAAGACCTGTTTTTAGTTTTGTTCAAATTCATTAAAGAAAACATCTGCTCGCAGAAGTACGTTCTACCGAACATGGAGCAAGTTTCCAAGGCCAATGTTAGAATTTTGGGAAAATCTTGCTGCTTAATACCTTGATAAAACGAAATTAAATTACTATTGTAGTGGTAGTATCTATCCTTAAGGATCGTATCGCATTGAAGCTTAACCAGCTCCATTTGGAACTGCGGCTGTTCTGTTTCGAAAAGCACTGAAGATGGCGTCGTAAAAATCTCATTTGCATAAACATCTCAACGTCGTCAATGATTTAAAAAAAATCTTTAGCAGTTTCGCGTAGCTTAACAGTGTATCGATGATATGTCGTTCATTGTGTATTCTACAGCATCAAAAATATCTTCTCCGGCCATTGTATCTTTGAGCGGGATAACGTCTAGTAGTTCGTCGGTAATAGTAAAGACTATTTCGACATCTCTAACGAAAACAGCTAATTATGCTGTGTCTGAAATGTCTTTACTTTCATCGAGAGCTGTAGAATATTGCATAAAATGGGCACATTTTCCAGCAGTTGTTCTTTTAAATCTGCACCTGGGCACAATATTTCTGCACACTCCACTAAGCATTCTTCGACAAGTGCACCGTCAGTAAACGGTCTCTCACTTTTTGCGATTTTCAAAGCTACAATATAACTTGCATTACGACACCATTAATAATAATCATCTACGACCAAATTAATAAGTACCTCTTCAGAACTTAGAAGGGCTGGCCTAAATACCGTGTGACAAATTAAACATTTTGCTGTTCCATCAGTATTTACAAAAAACAGGCTTCTTCCATGCATGATTGAATGACATCGTTTAAAAAAAGATGCACGTTAAGACGCTAAAAAACCTGTCCACTTTGTCTTGTCCTATTAAGAAATGGCCCGCGCCCGAGAGTCAGTCTGCTAATATGTTTCTCTATGTCAAGACGGGTGTGCGGTCGATGTGGAGGGGGAACGGCACCGGTGCCGCTGGGTTCAGCACCAGAGCGCACAAGCACCAACTACTCGAGTTGGAGAGGCCTGGTCTAGACATTTTTTGGAGAAATTTTCAAAAATATCGAATCTTCTTGGTCACTTTAGGGCGTAGTTATAAAAGTTTTACGGGACAAAACATTCTGAAATCAACATTTCTTGAATTTTCCTCATCGACGATAACGCTCAGAATTGCTTTTAGCTAGAACGTAGAGTGGATTTATCATTCTATCTGACTCCTTTTTTTTGATACCCTACCTCTCCGGTGACTCCTCCTGGATTCCCACGTGACCATGAGATTAGGCGATGACTCGCCTCCCAAACGTCTTCTCGATCCCGGTGTGGTTTCCGACCCAGTAGTACCACCTCCCTGACCAGCCATGACCCTTAACCGGTCGCTGGGCACGATCTTCAACTCGGCAGGTTGAGGTGGTGCCCTGTCTGGGGGCTGGTCGCCGAAATAAGGGCACTTGCAGGGTGGCGGTAGCAAAAGGGACTCCCCTGGGGGACGAGGTCGGTGGATAGGGGTTGATTGTGGCGTGCTGTAAAAGGGATAATTGTGAAGATTTTTACATTACAAGGGGTTGAGCTAGCAAATTTTAGAAAAATCTGGTGGTTGTAAGCTACCGGCAATGGATGAAAGAGAATTGTTCGAGAACGTAGTCAATATAAACGGCTTTTTTGAGCTTCTATACATCCAAGGTTCCAAGACCTTTAGCTCATCTTATCATGAACAAAAAATCTAATCCATTTACAATCTAAAATGGCGAACCTGTCCATTCCCGAACTGGATCCACTCTCTAATAGCACCTCGTTGACACTACCAAACCTCCTCCTGTATCTAGGTGTTGGAGTTTCGTCCCTAGAGTCCCCAGGATGGTATGTGGAAGCCCTTCTGAGGCGTTTCGATGGTCTTGGTGACGCCGTTTCTGATGATGCTGTTCTGCTGAGTAGCAACAAGGATCTGCTGTCTGATAGGCTGTCCTTACTGCTGGAGCTGCAACAAAATTGACGTTTTAGATATCTGGGAACGTTACCTCTTTCCATATTGTCGCATTCTTGCTGCTTTCGATTTTATGAGATACATCTTACATTCTCCCCAATTTCATTTTTGTGTTGCTAATTTTGCATTTTTATTGCAGGTAAGTTATGGTCAACCACTAATTCCTGACAGATCATCTGAAGTGGTAAGTTCGTTAATTTTCTTCTAGTATATTATGGCGTATGTCCCAATGTTGATTGACACTAGGGAGTTTTCAGAATGGAAGTATCGATACATGAGTGAGACGGTTTTGGGTTCAATCTACCTGAATGTTACCCATCTCTGAATGGGGTGTAAAAAGATATCTACTGTTACCATACGCTCGCTGACTTATTATGTGAAGAATTGTATTTTGACAGTCTAGGCCAGGCTACAGAGAAAATAATAGGTATTTCGTGTAAAAAAAGTTTAGCACATATATGATGGTTATAAATGACAAATACATAAAAAGATGCAGCAAGATATGCGTTGTATTTTTAAACAATGGGAAATATGCGTTATTTTTTTTTCACAGATTGTTATTAAACAATGGGAAAAGACGAATATTCAGTATTTTGCTTGTATAATTTTCAAATTAAATTTTATACATCATCGGTAAGCTGGAGATTTAGGAGCATAAAAAGACCTTCAATTTTGTTTTTTAAGAATTACAATCGATACACAGTTAAGCTAAATACAAAGCTTTTTAGCAATATTGAATAAATGTTTATAACTATTTCAACAACAATGGCTGAAAATTTGTGAGAATGGGTGGTGTTAATATATATATATATATAACTTGAGACGTGGTCATTGTCGACTAGACCAGTTTGGTAAAAAATAATGCTTTTGTTGGGCACTTCGACAAAATTCAAGCCAAGAGGACTCTTTATACTTTATTAATCTCTAGCTTTCAATGGACTTTGCCATCTTCATCAGGAGCTGCAATGACATTGAGAAGAAATAGCAACTATTGTGCAAAATGATTTAAAGTCGTATGGGAGATTGTTGCTAAATGTTATTTAGCTCCTGATGAAGATGGCAAAGTCCATTGAAAGCTAGAGATTAATAAAGTATGAAGAGTTCCTCTTTGCTTGAAGGAATCAACTTCAAGAATTTATGCAAAAAATCATAATTGTTGTTAAAAAAGATGTTAAAAAATATGTTTTTATAGTCATAAACATTTACAATAACCACTTTATTTTTCAATATAATATATTTCAAAAAGTTGTTCTGGATACGCATATTTAAAAAAATATATTTGAAAAAATCTTCTCCGACCAACAGGAGCCAAGATAAGTTTTTTCAAAATTTATATCTCCTTTGTTAATAAACATTTAGACTAGAAATTTTCACTGATTTTAATCAAGGATCTTAGTTTTATGATCCAGTTTATAATTTTACAATTAGTTCAAAGGTCTTTAAGAAAAAGCCACCTAAAGTGAAGGTACTCCCGTAAATATTTCCGGGTGAGGTGATTGGGGAAAAAGCTCTAGCTTGATTTATTTTTTGAAATTGAGACTTCAAATGGGATCGCGCTGTAAAATTTTGCATTATCGCGGCTTTTAAGCAACGTAGAACCTTCTTTTTTTTAATTTGGGGTAACTGGTGGAAATAATGACATCTGGCACATTTTCATTTTTCTGGAAAGTCTAGAAATCCCGGAAAACTTAACAGGTTGTATTCTTCAAAATTAAACGACTATGAAATAATAAATTAATAATAGAACTTTTACTCTCACTCTACTAAAATAATTTATATTATATCTTTATACTTTATTAATCTCTAGCTTTCAATGGACTTTTGCCATCTTCATCAGGAGCTGTAATAACATTGAGAAGAAATAGCAACTGTTGTGCAAAATGATTTACAGTCGTATGGGAGATTGATGCTAAATGTTATTTAGCTCCTGATGAAGATGGCAAAGTCCATTGAAAGCTAGAGATTAATAAAGTATAAAGAGTTTCTCTTTGCTTGAAGGAATCAACTTCAAGAATTTATGCAAAAAATCATAATTGTTGTTAGAAAAGATGTTAAAAAATATCAGTTTTTATAGTTATAAACATTTACAATAACTACGTTATTTTTCAATATAATTTATTTCAAAAAGTTGTTCTGGATACGCATATTTAAAAAAATATATTTGAAAAAACCTTCTCCGACCAACAGGAGCCAAGATAAGTTTTTTTAAAATTTATATCTCCTTTGTTAATAAACATTAAGACTAGAAATTTTCACTGATTTTAATCAAGGATCTTAGTTTTATGATCCAGTTTATAATTTTACAATTAGTTCAAAGGTCTTTAAGAAAAAGCCGCCTAAAGTGAAGGTACTCCCGAAAGTATGTTCCGGTGAGGTGGTGGGGGAACAGCTCTAGCTCGATTTATTTTTTGAAATTGAGACTTCAAATCGGAGCGCGCTGTAAAATTTAGCATTATCGCGGCTTTTAAGCAACGTAGAACCTTCTTTTTTTTAATTTGGGGTAACTGGTGGAAATAATGGCATCTGGCACATTTTCATTTTTCTGGAAAATCTAGAAATCCCGGAAAACTTAAAAGGTTGTATTCTTCAAAATTAAACGACTATGAAATAATAAATTAACAATAGTTGTTCAGTTTTACTCTCACTCTACTAAAATAATTTATATTTTACAATAAAATTGTTTAAACAATTCATAATTCAGTTCATTGTTATACTGTTAACAAAACACAGTCTAATAAATTGTAAAAAATATCGATTGACGTTTGTCTTTCATTTATATTTATTTTATTTGCATTCTTTGTGCTATAATAATATATAATGTATTTTTTTATTATAATATTTTATTATTTTTATTAATTTTGATTCTCCGTTCTAAATCTTTTATTTGGACGCGTAACAATAGACATGTACAGAGGCTAAGCGCAATTTGATCAATGGTTCTTATGTGTGTGTGTGAATATATTCATGTAAAGGGTGTTTTTTTTTTTTAGAGGTATAGAACTTTAAATTGCAATAAAACAACGATGGATTATTCGAATGAAATTATTTTTTTTATTCAACAGAATCTTGTGGAATTACATTTTAAATATGATTTCTGGCATATGACTGCCACGGCTGGCTAGGATGTAGTCCAATCTGGACGTCCAATTTTCGATGACTTTTTCCAACATTTGTGGCCGTCTATCGGCAATAACATGGCGAATGTTGTCTTCCAAATGGTCAAGCGCTTGTGGCTTATCAGCAAAGACCAATGACTTTACATAGCTCCACAGAAAATAGTCCAGCGGTGTTAAATCACAAGATCTTGGAGGCCAATTCACAGGTCGAAAACGTGAAATTAGGCGGTCACCAAACGTGTCTTTCAATAAATCGATTGTAGCACGAGCTGTGTGACATGTTGCCCCTCTGGTTGGAACCACAGCTCCTGGACATCATGATTGTTCAATTCAGGAATGAAAGAGTTATTAATCATGGCTCTATACCGATCAACATCGACTGTAACGTTCTGGACATCATCGTTTTTGAAGAAGTACGGACCAGTGATTCTCCACCAGCCCATAAAGCGCACCAAACAGTCAGTCTTTCTGGATGTAACGGTGTTTCGACATAGACTTGAGGATTAGCTTCACTCCAAATGCGGCAGTTTTGTTTGTTGACGTGGCCATTCAACCAGAAGTGAAAATCAGGAACAACGGAAATCTCGTTTTGGTCCCATTCATCGAATCTACGCCTTGCTTAAAGTGGATGGACACAGATCCAATTTCTGTGCTCGATGGCGGATGGACTCATTCGGGTCTTCTCTACGCACTGGGGATGCGAGTTATCAATTAGAGTAAACCTGGTGCGAAAACGTTCCATGGTTAACCGATAATCTGATGAAGATTTTGTCGACGATAAAATGGACGTAGTATTCCGCACAGAACCATTATTTTCCAAATAAAACTGCACAATTTGCAAGTGTTGTTCAGGCGTGAGTCCATTCATGATGAAATGCCAAACCAAACTGAGATAAATTACTTGACAGCTGTCAAATCGGTCGCCATCTTCAAAAGTAATGCCAACTTAAAGTTCTATGCCTCGAAAAAAAAAAACACCCCTTATATGCAAGCAAATAATACAGGTTCCACATAATCTTAAAGTAGGCAGTAGTAGTATTTGTAGCGGTGATCCAACAACGCTCTTTTCGTCGATTTTTTAATTCCCCAGGTGACTCACTCTACCTTTTCGGAAAATAGCACTAAAAACTGTGTAACTTTTAATCAAGAGCTCCTGCAGGTATTTTTCATTGAATGAATTGAATCGTGACCGCGTAAACAGCCTAGAATAAATTGAATCGTGACCGCGTAAACAGCCTAAAACCCTCGCTGGTTCACGTTTCACTTCTCTGTCGTTTTCTTGCCTCGAGGGAATATAGCATAAATTAGGCAACACGCAAATCTCTGATAGCTATACTACAACTATTTAAAACTGTAATGACCCATACGCGTGATCAACACGTGATCAGAGCTCGATCCCGGCTTCCTTCCAGTACAGCCGTATAGCGTACGACATATGTCGTTTCTGTGGCTTTGCGCTGGTCAGCAGCACAGACAGAGATGGAAATAATGGCTGATTGTTCTCCGCCGGTAGAACCAATGAAATCAAAGACGCGCCTCGACCGGCAGACTCATAGGCATCGGCAACGCACTGGAATGTGTTTCGTTGAGCGATCGCATATTGTGTATTTTTATAAGAATTGTTGTGTGATTGTTATTGTTGTGGTTTCTGTGGTTACTGTTTTGGTTATACTTAACCATGGAGAGTACAAATAGCACGAGTGGAAGTACTGAAAGCCAGGGAACAAGTAGACGGCTTCGTAAAGCACTGAAGAGGGACGCGAAAGAAATCGTTCTCAACGTGTTCAATCATCTGAACAGAACTATGTCGCAGGGAGATGCACTCGCGCGTTGTGAAAGTATGACAGGCGTTCCAGAGTGGACCATTCGCAGGGTGGT